AAATTCCCAAAAACCGATCCATTTTATAAAGGTTTTCAATGTCCTGCCATTTTATGCTTACAAGAAGCCGGGCACGACCCCTCCACCCTGATTTCATCGGGTATTCATAAACCATCTCCAGCTTTCCATTGTGGGTCCTTCAAAGCATCAACCGCTGATGCTGCTTGCACAGCCAAAATCAGATGATCATCCAATCCATCTCCAAAGACTCGCAGATTGCAGGAAATATATCCAGACAGTTTCGATTGGGGTGCTTTAAAATTTAACTTCACCCCTCCCAGTAAGAGACCGTCGTTTGGTGGCAAGCCAGCTGCACCACCGCACGAATACGAAAACTGGTTGCACCAGGGCTATGCAAGCGGGTAGCACCGCAGAAAGTAAAGACGCGGCAAAAAGAATGTTGCAGACGTGGTGCTTGCTAGCGCCTGTGCATAATAATAGGAAGCGGCCTGAGGCCCCAGTTCCAGAAAAACCAAAGCTATGTGTTGAAGGTGAACTATGCCAGTTTAGCTCCAATTTCACATAATTTCACAATGGTTCATGGTACTTGTATAACTAGACTATATATATATTATATAGTTATTATGGGCCCAGTTAAGATAGATAGACAGATAGCTAGATAGATAGATAGATGGCTAGACCGATAGATAGATAGATAGATAAATAGATAGATAGATAGATAGACAGATAGATAGATAGATAGAGAGAGAGATAGATAGATAGATAGATCGATAGATAGATAGGTAGATAGATAGACAGATAGACAGACAGATAGACAGATAGATAGAGAGACAGTTTTGAGCGATAGATAGATGGAGAGATAGAGAGATAGAAAGACAGAAAGATAGAGAGATAGATAGAGAGAGAGAGAGATAGATAGATAGACAGACAGACAGACAGATAGATAGATAGATAGACAGATGAAAGAGAGAGAGAGAGATAGATAGATAGATAGGTAGATAGATAGATAGATTAGATTAGATTAGATTAGATTAGATAGATAGATAGATAGATAGGTAGATAGATAGATAGATTAGATAGATAGATAGATAGATAGATAGATTAGATTAGATTAGATTAGATTAGATTATTTTGGATTAGATTAGATTAGATAGATAGATATAGATAGACAGACAGATAGATAGATAGATAGATAGATGGCTAGATTAGATAGATTAGATAGATAGATAGGTAGATAGATAGATAGATAGAAAGACAGATAGACAGATAGACAGGTAGACAGATAGACAGATGAAAGAGAGAGAGAGAGATAGATAGATAGATAGATCGATAGAAAGATAGATAGATAGATGGATAGATAGATAGATGGCTAGACAGATTGATAGATAGATAGGTCGATGGATGGATAGATAGATAGATAGTCAGAAAAAGAAAGAGAAAGAGAGGAGACCTCAGCCACCTTTCGGTCCATCAGCGGCTTCGCGCTGCCATCCTTGATTCACAACAACCAACTTATCCTATAGGTATCCTATTTTTGAAACTTCCGCCACCGCCTTGTGCGGTACTACTGGTATAACTAGACTATATATATATATATATAATATATATATATAGTTATGATGGCCCCAGTTAGAAGTTGGTTTCTAAACCCCATTAACTATAGATATATTTACCATAGCCATAAACCATAGTTATTAGAGTTATACACAATAAATAGCTAACTATGGGGCACTACATAGTAATTAGAGTTTATTGCGCCAACATTTACTTCACCTGGAGGGCCCCACCAAAGCCCCGATGGAAAATTCTTGCCGGTTTCTGTACCACACGTGTTGCATCGATTCGAAGGACATAGAACAATCAACTGATCCATTGGTTAGTCAATCATAGTCAATCAAATTCCCGACTATATAATACTATATGTACATATTATATATATAATACTATATATATATATAATTATATATGTATATATATTGCATCAAAATGGCAGTGTGCTCCATTTTCGGACAGACCCAAATCGTCCTGACATGGGACATCCATAGCTGTGGAAGCCATGGTCCATCAAATATGATTTACATTGATTTACCTGTAAAGGAAATGGTGATCTTCCACATTTCCACCGCTCTGTTGGTTTACCAGAGGCTATCCATTTCTCTTCAAAAATACCAAGTTTTAACGGTCCTCCAATTTTGCCGCAGGCAGATTTGCCTGGTACAGTGCAGGCGCGCCCCACTCGTCATATCTTTTCTTCATAATGAAGCTCGAGAAATGGTTTGTTTTAAAAAGACATGATTCTTTAATGATTGACTATAAATGTGGTAAATTTGTGGAATTAGTTGGAATTGTATATGTGATTGCCGATCTAAAGGTCCATGTGCCTATTGTCCATTGCAAAGGCCGCCAGGGTTCCAACATGAGACCCCGCGAACAATTTTTCTGAGTTCGCGAAAGTACATGTGTTTTGGGCGAAAGATTTAGCGAAAAAAAATTAACATGAGACCCCCACGAAAGATAAACATGGGGTTGGCGAAAGATTCGCGAATAGAATTGTTTTATATTCGGGAAGAATGGCCGTTTGCCGATAAAGAAATTTAGATCAACCGCCATGTGTGATATCAGTAGCATACTTATGGTGAATCCCAAAGTGATCCAGAGAATGGTGGTGTAAAATCAAAAAACAACTGACAAAATGCCAGGGACGGTGAGTTTTTGTTGGGTGACCCCCTTGTGACTGGCAAACTTTGACTGTATGTTTCAGGGTCTCCAAAAAAGCGCATGGTTTGATCATAACTATGATGTTCCTTTTGTCGATGATTTATTTTGTCCACGATTTGAGTGTAAATTCATCTCATATTGGTTTTACATCAAATAATGGTCACAGAAAATTGCACGATGAGGAATTACTGCACCCGAACGGCAAGAATAGAATAGTCCCATGAATTATATGCCATGTTGATCCAAACACCTCATGAGAAACTACTTAATCCCCTGGATCATACACCAAATGCTGAAAAGCTACGGCTGGATGCAGGCCCCAAAGCCCTGGTAAACCAGGGCACTGTTTTCCCCTTATAAAGTTGGGATTCAAAAACTGAATACTATGATATATGGTCATAGAACCATTCAAAAATGATGGATTTTCCACATTTCATCGCTGAATGTGTTGAACATGTCGTGAATCACGATAGGTCTGGGAGCAGCCGGGCCTCTTCAGTCCTCCACGCGAGGCGCAAAACCACTAGATGGAATGGGTTACCCTATTTTCAAACCCAAATATATAATAATATATATATATATATATGCACATTTATATTCACATACTAATGTACATATGATTATATATATATATATATACATATTTATAATCATATATATCCGAAAATGTATATACATATATATATATATATATACATAGTTTGTCTAAATATGTTACACAATTATATTATGATATAATTACATCGATATATATATATGATCAGATGTGGTTGCCTTTAATTGCCTTCATGTATTGTGACATCTATTGTATAACTTCACATGGCCACATACATACATACATACATACATACATACATACATATATATATATACATGTTTTACTGTGTATGTATGTATATATATATATGTGTATAATTGTGTACACATGTTGGTGCATTTGTATTATAATGTGTTATTTACAATTTTATTTGCATATTTATATATGCATGTGTTTGTACATATAACTATAATATATATATATATATATATATATAGTTGGTTCTTTGCATATATGCGCGGAAAATCTGTACACACATTATATACGCACGTATCTACATAAGTATGTATCCATATGTAGATGCACTACATTTTTCAGTATATATATATACGTTGTTTGGTTTCTTTTTCTTTACATGGTTATGAAAATCAGAGAACTGGCAAACACGTGAAATTATCTGTTTTATGATAAACAATCCGGATGAATTGTCTCATGACTAAATTTTAGGTTGGAACCCCGAGAACCAGATACAAATTCGATGGCCGAAGCCGATCATCACCAGCGTCGTGCTATCCAAGACAGCTATGGGAAACATCTTTAATTTTTGACTTTTCAGGAAAATACTCATGTGGTTTTACTGGATAAACAATGATAAACAATGATAAACATATATCTTTTCGATCAGCTGATTAGGAGGAATTTTTTAGGAACGATGGGTATATCCATATTAGCTCCCTTTCAAATCCAAGGATCTGGCTGAATCCCAGGCAAAAAATCCGAAGTGTTTTCCCGTGAAGAAAACCATGTTCGAAACGTGGGAAACATGGGCACTATCTTTTTTACCCCTCCTGAAACATAGGGCCATCGGAGATACAGTGGTAAGGCCAATGGTAGACCACCAAAAATTGGGTTTTAGGGGGATGATCTACCAGAATGTTATGTGTGTACCATCCTACAAGTTAACATAGATGTGGAAAACCCACCAGTTGTAGATCATTTCCCAAACGGGAAACCATGGGTTTTCCATGGTTTTCCACATCTATGCGTTAATCCCAGGATAATTGCCAGACACATATTTCTTGACCAGGTGTGTTTCTCTCAGAACATGAAAATAATGACCGGCTTGAAGCCCTTCTGACTTCCCCTGTTCTCTGGATCTCAACTATCTTCCGGATTGCTCCAACTCATCAAAAGGTGGACCATTTCTATAGGCTTCTTACCACTTCTTCAATTCTTTGTGATGAAGCCATGAACATGAACATGGGAAAACATGATGAGAATGGAGATGAGAATGGACCATTTGGGATCATTTCATCAAAGGGTGGACCATTTTCTTTGGATAAAGGGTTTAAAGATGTTTTACCCGTTGGTAATTTAACAGTTCGCTATTTGAAATGGTCATTTATGGTTGATTTACCTAGTAAAAAGGGTGAATTTCAACAGCAAACTGTAAACGTTTACCAGAGGGTAAGATGTTTGATCTATGCAAAGATCATCCGCAGGGAAGGAACTTGGGCCCGAAGCGCCAAAACTACCCCTGCTTGCAGCACGCTCTCCACTCGCCATGGGAAGCACTACCGCCTTCAGATCCGTGCCTTGGAAATGTAGGGAAAATCGGCCGATTGGAACGAGTCAATGGGTGGATATGGCATACCTTGGTCCAATGGCTTTCGGCTTTCAAAACCAGATTGCTTCTGATTGCTAAGTCTGTTGCTATAGTTATACATAAATATATTTATATATATAGTTACAGAAATAATGATGAATATATAGTTATACATATACATATAGTTATATATACAGTTGCATGAATGTAAAAGACAACTATATATATATAGATAGAGATAGACATACATATATCATACTTTTTGTTGGGACCGGCGAGGTCTTTTTCCGCTTCCTTAAGGACTTCCATTCCACCCTCAGCGGCGACGGCGACTCTTACCGTCGTTTCGACAGCGGCTCGATTTCCTCGACCGCTGTGCCGCGCGGGCGGCTGACCGAGCTCAGTAGCTTTGACTCCGAGACTTGGAGACCGGCGGTACCTGGTGGGGCCAAAGAAACCATAGGAAAATGGATGAAAATGCTAAGACACTATAGGAAAACCATGGTGATTTAGAAGGGAAACAACATGTGGGGTGAAGAATGATGATTTATATCATAACAACAGGTAACTAGAATGCTTATTAAATCGACCAAAAGAAACCATGTGAACATAGATGTGGAAGTGGAAAAATGGCTAACGAACATCGGAACATAGAACATGAATTAATTACTCTAGGCCCTAGGGTAAAGATAGATGTGGCACATGGCCCAACTTATGATCAAGTACCGAATTGTTGGCTGATTTTCCACGTTTATGTTCGTTTGGCAGAGGTAACAAACATGTGAATTTCAGGTGATTTATAGCTGATTTATGGCTAAGTTGGTTTACAACTCCAATCACTTTGATAATTGATACTTATAAATTATGTATAGTTCTTGGGGTTTATAAATCAACAAAAACTGGGAGAAACCTTGGCAGGTGGAGAAATGAGGAAATGGATGATTGAATCAGCCAGGATTTGGATTTTATCAGTACAAATAGTATTTGAACGTTCTGAACAGGAGAAATCTACCCCACTTGGATGACATTGATTTAGGCCCCCCGTTTATAAGCTATTTATGACCGGATTAACTGGGGATATTCCACATATATATATATATGTGTATAATATGTCTAGTTTGTGATATGGCATATGGCGTTACCCAATAGATAACTGGGATGCACCCATGCTGAACATGAATGACAATGATATAGTATAATTCAGTATAATCAGTTCCCTATTTCAAGATATGAATCAAAATAAACAGGAAAGCCATGAACTTCCGAATGCACATACAGTCTGGTAATTTAACATAGCTATAGAACATGGCCCATTTATAGTTGATTTACCTATCAAAATCGTGATTTTCAATAGCTATGTTAGTTTACCAGAGGGTAATGAATTTCCGCCGAAACCACAGTCGCAAAAATGAAGGACCTGTGGAGATTTTAATCTATCAGGTATGCTTTCCCCAGTAAACACATGTCAGTTCTTGTATATATACATACATAGATAGTGATAGTGAATTATAGAAATCCATTTGTAGGTGTGGTTTTCATTCAAAAAACGTGTTTGTTTACGCCATGTTTGAGTTCCAGAGGCTATAAACCAATTTATATTAGGTTATGTATATAGACATATACATAATTATACATATGGTCATGGCATGTCATGACAGCATTTCTGATGATCGTTGATCTCCGTATTGTAAGATCAGTGGCTCAGACCACACCCGAACGTGGCCCTTGGTCTCAGGAACGGCTTGCTCGAATCCAACGTCGCCGGGCTGGAGTTCAGCCTTTCCTGGAACGCCTTCGGGGTGAAAAAAAATAGCGCGTTTGAAAATCGATGATATCCATAAGATAGCAATCTTTAGTATATACATTGTATGTATATATATATATATTTAATTACTATGATTGACTGTCAATGACATAAGATAAGTCACGGTGATCTGCTTGAGTGTTCCTCTACGTTGGAGACCCCGCAAAGCATAGGATTCCTCATGGAAAAGCATACTAATTTTATCCAAGCGATGCCTAGTTGACCCGTGATCCTTGATGGTTGTTGCAATGATTTATGGAGATCTTTGCTTCACCTCGAAACTGTGGTCTCAACAGGGATGCGTGTTTTTTCAACATGGCACGGTGCCTCCAAAGGAGATTGGTTCGTTGGTTCGTAAGTTCAACAACTATGGTTTTGTTGGGGATATATCGAGCTAGTAGATATTATTGGGTTTATAAACCAACAAACATCGCTGGTATTGTTGGTCCCCACCTTGCGGAAACGTATGCAGTCCACGAAAAACACAACAGTTGAAATGGACTGTTTGAAAAAGATAAGTTGATTCCAAGTTAACTTTAATGGAAAAAACGTCGGAGTTGTTAAATTTAATGTTTCACTCCCAATTCCATCCAAGAATATTATAGAATGAATATATATATATACATATATAATTATTATATTAATTAATTAATATATATATATATATTAATATTAATATTAATATTAATATTGTGAGTAGATCAAACTCCCCGCACTGGCAACGGGCCTCCACCTCCAACTCCACAACCAGATCGCACCCGGACTCTTTTACCCAACAGGCTGGAGAATCCTTAAACGCACAAATTGGAGACAGCAGTCTCCCAAGCAGCAAGCGGTTCCCTGACCGAAATGGTTGGAGCTCCAGGCACCAGTGAAAGGACCCCGGGTCCAAAGCAAATGAGAGTGGCCACACTCGCCGATATTGCTCAAACGCAGATACCTATGGAAACCACCCACTTCCTCCCACTAGGGCTCGCCTGAGCCTGAATGTGCTACAACCAGGTTCTCTTGATTTCCAGCTGGTACATGGTTGTAAACATCGATCTGATTGGATTGCAATGACGTAGGTTCACAAAATGTGTAAATATATATATTCATATATGGAAGTAATGTAATGTAATGCAACGCAATGTAAAGTAATGTCGTAATGTAATGTAATGTAATGTAATGTAATGTAATGTAATGTTTGTAAAATCATAGAATATTATCTATGTACTGTATGTATTTATTACTTTACATATATATATATGTTTTTAATATACAAATATATATATATATATATACACATACATTTATATATGTATATACATGATTGAACTTTTGCCAGTGTTTTTGCCGGATTGAATTGGTGAACCTAGCCTAAACAAAACGGGGTCCCTTCGTTCGCCCATGATTCCTCGCTCGAAGCTGGTAAGTTCATACAGTTTCTTGCTCTTGTTTCCAGCTAGGTATAATATTTATATATATATAAATATGAGGGATTCGGATTGTTTGCAGTTGAGAATCTTATGAACAAATGGATGATAACTAGGGGTACCATCCATTTTAAGAAACCTCCGTATATTTGTATCTACGAATAGAAAAAATATCATGTATATTGTATATGTATAATGTAAAAATGATCTGGTGTGCATATATGATGTATATAATACAAAACATTTTTATGATACTTGATATATATATATAATTAACCATCATTAACCATAAAATATCCATATATTAACCGTATATTGGCCATATATATATATATATATATCATTTATATATATATATATATATGTATATATATATATCATATATATATATATCTATATATACATACACGACATCTAGTTTTAGAGTTGGACCCGAGGCATCCAAGCAAGAGCATTGGAGGCGGAGATGGCAGGACACGGGGAGCGGCACGGGGGAATGTTCCATGGGGAGCATGGTGATGATGGTGGATTTACGGTGGATTTTTACAGTTTTCAGAAGTTAGTGACATGGTGGGTATTTTAAATGAAAAATGGTGATTTAACTGATTAAAGTAGGAAACAGCGGATACATTGGGGATACAATCGTGACTTCCACTTGGGAACATGATGATAGAAATAGGGTATACAACCAGATGGATTTTGTTTGCCGGTTTGAAAAGATGAGGATTTATACCTATTAGAAACTGACATTTGTTTTAAGACGATGGGGATTTGTTTTGGATAACCTGGATTTACTTGAAAACTTGGCCGATATACTGTTCTGGGAGACTGACCTGCTTGGCAATTTCTAATCGAAACCCTCTAAGCGCAAATACTTGGATGATCTTGGATGTTGGAATTTTCCAAACATGGGTCCATCAAAAGGTTGGAACAACATACTTGTTCTGAATGGCAATTTTCATTAGACGCTCAGACCGTACCTGTCCAAGAAACAACAACACCCAAAATTAGGGATGAAAATGTCACATACCATATTATGATATCATCTTTGTGTGGATGAACATCCATCTACACCTGCTATTCTGCTGTGAAAACCACCTTAACTACAGGGTTTCACGGGTTTCGACCCATGCTTATGGACATTTGAGAGAAACAATTCGGGGCGTGAACCAACAAACAAAAAATGGGGCGGTCTAAGCAAGGAAAAAAACATTTGAACAACAAAACATGTGCAGCTGAACAGGGACGCAGAAGCTGTGTGCATTTGTATTCCTTGGTCGAACAAATCTTGTAATTAATTATCTAGGGGACGGATGAATAAAGGGTTTCCCATATTACCGCACTACCCAGTTTGTTGGTACTGCTTCCACACAGAACGGCGCGGAATCTACTATATAATTGGCCTTGCAGAGAAGTCTAGATCATATAATCTAGTGGTCAGTGCTGTAAAGTCTAGATGACCATGAATAGTGGTCGTCATCGCCCATTAGATCATAAATACGCTTCGTCACCGCCCATATTTGCTTTGCTGTGAAAACGCAACATTGAACTCTTGGGTTTGATATTGATTTTTAATTTGCTGATTTTCATGAATTGACATATGGAGAGTTTACCATTAAGAGACCTATCCCAAGGTAATGATTTCGGGGGTCCAAACCAACGAGCGTTTGGTGACACAAGAAAACACCCGGATTTGTTCGTGTATTTCATAGAACATGTTGCCATAATATGAAACCAAGTGATTAGCAAGTGCTTTAGGGATGTGTACATGTCAGCTTCGGAGTTGATATGCTTCCAAGCAATTTTTCGAAGAGACCATTTCACCGGGACACCCCTAGAAATGTTGAAGAATGGCAGAAAAAACTATGGGTTTCCTGTAGTGAAAGTCAAAGCCTTTACTGTATCAGTAATTATGTATCAGTTATATACATATGCATATGCTTATCAATGGCGTTATCATTCCATAAATGGGTTGACTTGCATCCATAAGTGGTAAATGGCCACAACTGATGTAGATTTTTACATATCTTCCTTACATTTATTGCCCTAGTTATAAGTTATAAGTCAATAAGTCACCCCGTTTATGGATTGACCACCACATGTATAACCATCAATGAAAACTGGCATTTCGGGCTTAAATCCCACATTTTCCCAGTGGTTTTCCGCCCCATTTCACTTCGTAACCAGGACGATATCGACCGGGCGCCACGGTGGCCGCGCTCTGTTTAGATGCCTTTTGGATGGCAGTAAGTATACATATATCCAAGTAAATTATAACGACCTCACTGCGACCT